AAGTCTACAAGATACAGTTATAGGCAGAAGTCTACAAGATACAGTTATAGGCAGAAGTCTACAAGATACAGTTATAGGCAGAAGTCTACAAGATACAGTTAGTCTCCTGGTTTGTATAGGCAGAGTTCAACAAGATACAGTTAGTCTCCCGGTTTGTATAGGCAGAATTCTACAAGATACAGATAGTCTCCTTGTTTGTATAGGCAGAGTTCTACAAGATACAGTTAGTCTCCCAGTTTGTATAGGCAGAGTTCTACAAGATACAGTTAGTCTCCTTGTTTGTACAGGCAGAGTTCTACAAGATACAGTTAGTCTCCTGGTTTGTATAGGCAGAGTTCTACAAGATACAGATGAGTCTCCTGGTTTGTATAGGCAGAGTTCTACAAGATACAGTTAGTTTCCCGGTTTGTATAGGCAGAGTTCTACAAGATACAGTTAGTCTCCTGGTTTGTATAGGCAGAGTTCTACAAGATACAGTTAGTCTCCCGGTTTGTATAGGCAGAGTTCTACAAGATACAGTTAGTCTCCTTGTTGGGTATAGGCAGAGTTCTACAAGATACAGTTAGTCTCCCGGTTTGTATAGGCAGAGTTCTACAAGATACAGTTAGTCTGGGGGTGGGGGCTCAGATTGATCATGTAGATGGGGGCAGGCGGCCATGCCTATGAGGGTAAGAAGACCCCCATGTCCAACACGTGTGACGTCACTACTGCCAGCTCTAGTATTACAATATATAAAACATCTTTGGTGGTGGCAAAACTGTTCCCTGTCCACTCGGCAATATTGTCCGTCCATTTCTCTCCCTGTTTGGTCTGCTTCTTCTTCTTCTTCTCCTCCTCCCCCCTCCTGACCTGTCCCTCGGAGGGTGGTCACCGACAGGTCAACAGCTCACGTCACGTGACTGCACCACCCAGGGTATCTTTTCTTGGCGGTGGTGACCAGCTCTTCATCATTAATGTGACACATTGTCTTTGCTGATGCTCACACGTCATAAGACCCAACAATAGTAACAATGTAACGACATTTTCCTCATTGCAGTTACTGGTCATGATCATCGTCACATAGGGTCCAATCATAATAAATAATGGTATTAATACGTTTATTATCGTTGTTTTCATTATCATCATTATCATTATCCTTATTATTATCATCATTATCATTATCCTTATTAATATCACTTTAATTTTATATTACCAGAAGGCTACAACTAAAATCAATATTATTACAATTGTTTCCATTATTATTAATAGCATTATTTTTTAATTGCTGTTCTAGCTGTTTTTTTAAAAATTAT